GACCTGATCATGAGATATGAAACCCTCATTCTTATCTTCATCAGGGCTCACAGAGAGAAGAATTTCCCTTTGTATGTTGAAGTCTTGGAGGAACTCACACCACTGTTCTTTGCCTTGGATCATGTGAACTACTCACGGTGGATGCCAGTTCACATCAGAGATATGAAGTCTCTGCCCGACACTATCAAGGATGAGTTTGAGAATTTTTCTCACTGGGTCCTTTCCAAGACAAGAAACAAATTCTCTGCAATCCCATTTGATCAAGCTCATGAGCAGGAAAACAAGATCGTGAAAGGTTCTGGTGGAGCTGTTGGACTCACAGAAAACCCTGTGGCTTTTCGACGATGGATGCTTTCGGGACCAGAGATGTCCAGGCTGCTAAAGCAATTCGAAGAAGAATACCTTCCTGATGATGACACAGAGATCCCGGAGAACTTCCAGCATCATGAGCAGGGTCTCTCAACACAGAAGACCTTCCAGCGACAGGTTGTCAGCCTCTCCGATACCATCAGACGAATGGGCAATCCCTTCTTGGATGATTTCTCCGAACTAGTAACTCTTGACAGTCGCAACTGTGCGGATGAATCAGTGGTAGCCGCATTGCACACATTGGAGGATACAGGCAGGAAACAGTACAAGAACTTTGTCAAGAATGTGCTTGATGTTCGCAGCCACTCCATCCATGACCCAATCAAGAGGAATTCTCTAGCACTATTCAGTAAACCTAAACGGAAGGTAACATCTAAGCAGGGGAAGAAGATCAAAGTGCTTCAAAACAACGTGGCACTCTTCGGCCAGTTGTACATATCTATGCAGAACCGGGAAGGTGACTTGGCAGAGTTCTTTGCACATGAGATACAGTCCTTCCCTCCTTCCCTCTCAGACTTTAACAAGCTTCATTTGCCCAGCACGAAGTCGGACCTGCTGAAATGTCTTGAGCAACCTGGTCAATCAGAGCCACCTTCAACCTATGACTGCAAAGTCCTGGATGGTGCCGTCATCGTACACTGTCTGCCCACTACCAGCGTCAGCACATTCCATGAGTATGCAGACAGGGTATTCATCCCATACCTGGAGAAGCAGCTTCAGGACGCCATGAGGTTGGATGTCGTGTGGGACACATACATTCCAGATAGCTTGAAAGAATCTACCCGGGAAAAGAGAGGCAAGGGTGTGCGCAGGAAAGTATCGGGTGAGACCAAACTACCAGGCAATTGGATGGACTTTCTCCGTGACCCACTCAACAAGAAAGAGCTGTTTGCCTTTTTGACTTCCAAGATTGAGGATTTCAACTTGCCGCCAGCCAAAGCTGTATATGTCACATCCGGGAAATCTGTGGCATCCATTGGTACTGGCATCCCCATGCAAAACTGTAATCACGAGGAGGCGGACACTAGAGTTGTGGTTCATGTGCTACATTCTCTGAAACACGGGGGAAAGACTATCCTTGTGCGAACTGTGGACACAGATGTTGTAGTAATCCTTGCTGGCACATTCCATAATCTGATTTCAACTCAACCTTTGGCTGACATCTGGGTGGCCTTTGGCATGGGCAAGAATTACAGGTTTTACCACATCAACGCCATCTACTCGAGCCTAGGGCAGCAAAAATCACGTGCATTACCCATGTTCCACGCATTTTCAGGTTGTGACACAACCTCTGCTTTCAATGGCAAGGGCAAGAAGTCAGTTTGGCAGGCCTGGCAGATCTATAAAGACGTCACACAGACATTTGTGTCTCTAGCCGACCATCCTTTCCAGATGCTGGAACTCAACGACGACTCGTTCCTAAAGCTCGAGAGACTGACTGTTATCCTGTATGACAAAACCAGTCCTTTGAACTCTGTCAACAAGACAAGACAGGAACTCTTCTGCCATAAGAATCGAGCAATGGACAAACTGCCACCCACCAAGGATGCACTACTCCAGCATGTCCGCCGTGCAGTGTATCAAGCGGGAATCTGGACGACCTGCACTCAAACACAGCCAGTGGTTCCTTCTCCAAAGGACTTTGCCTGGACCAAAATATCAGAGTCATGGGTACCAGTTTGGATGACAATTCCAGAGATTTCCAGATCATGTCGTGAACTTATCAGATGTTCATGCAAAGGTGACTGCTCCAACTGCAAATGCGGCAAAGCAAATTTGGACTGCTCACCACTTTGCAAGTGCAGTTGTACTACATAGAACATTGTAAACTGTAAGCGATTTTATTATTAAACATCACTTAACAATCCCACATACTTAGAAAATTGAGAAAACTATGAAAGTTTCTTTTACACTGCAATCCATTTCAACCACATGCAATGCTCTAATCTCCGTGATGTGAGATATAGTCATGAAAATTAAGAATTGTTTTTTTTTGCTGAAACGCAAGTTTTATCTAGTTATTGAGAACGAATGAATGTTTACTAAAATGGGTGATCAACTTTAACTTCAAATCAGAAAAGCAGACACTGATCCGGGGAGGTGGTGGTCAACGCACCCCCCCCCCCCCCCATGGATTATACATGGTATGTGGTAAACGCTTGGAATAAGTGCTAGAAAGCATACTGCGCATATGAGTTTATTTATTTCATTTCTTTTGTGAACAAAAATCTATTGGGCCTGAACCCTCTCCTCCCGCCTTCTTAAAACATTCCGGGATCCGCCCCTGAAGAGGGTGGATTGTTATTGAAAGTTGAATAAAAACGGTATATATAATAATTAAAAATGTTTTGTTATTTTTATAATGTCCAATTATCCAAGAGTCACACATTTCAATGATTACTTTGGTGAAACTGCTTGTAGCTAGGTCCACTTGTAGTATTGCAATTTATCCAAACTTGAATTGAATTTGATCAGTGGCCTCTATACATATATTTCGTAACCATTTAAAACTTTTTATGATTCTCAGGAATGAGTGGAATTATGTCACAAATGTCAGCTAACTTGGAATTCTGTGTTTTACATGATTTTTTTCAAAAATTCTGAAAGGCTCCTAGGCTATGATTAGTTGATAGTAACGCTTAGCCACCTGACATGAGCGTGTTCTGTTGTTAAGACTTATTACTGGCGACTGGCAACATTCTACCCCCAGAGTATGCAAATTATTAAGGTTTAACAAAATCAACACGGGGGCTCCGAAACAACGCCCCGACCTTCTTCACACTTATGCGATTGTTTTGCCGGGGGCTCCTTCCTTAATATCATTCAGTAGGTCATAAGAGAGCCCTGTACCATAAAAGGCTGTCATATAACCACAAACCAATGTGATCTTTCATGATATCTAACACGGGGGCTCTGGTACGGCGCCCCCGCCCCCAAAATACACCTATATAAATGTTTTGTTGGCGGCTCCAACCCTAACATCGTTTAGTAGGTCAAAAAAAAGCCCTGTACCAGAAATTGCATTTGTGCAAGATTTTTTTTTTTTTTTTAACCTTTATAGTATTTGGGGGGCTCCGGGATGGCGCCCCCGCCCCTACACCCTTATATGAAATTGTTGCCAGGGGGTCCTACCCTACTATCTTTCAGTAAGTCCTTGGGAAGCCCTGTACAAAAACAGGCTGTCGTATAATCACAAACCAATGTGATCTTACAGAATATATAATATGGGGGCTCCGGTACGACGCCCCGGCCCCCAAAAATACACCTATATATTTTTTTTTTTGAAGGGGCTGCAACCCTAACATCGTTCAGATGGTTCTAAAAAGCCCTGTACCAAAAATTACATTCGTACAACAACAGATCAATGTTATTTTAACTTATATTTTATTAAGGGGCTCCGGAATGCCGCCCCCGCCCCCCACACCTTTAAATTAATTTTTTGCCGAGGGCTCCTAGGCTAATATCGTTCAGTAGGTCGAAAGGAAGCCCTGTACCAAAAATGGCGCTTTTGTCCGCCGTGTAACGATAATTTCGCTAAGCCACCTGACTATTGAGACATCTTTAACATGGAATGGTTCAATGAAAGTGCTTTAAGACTTGGGCGTGTAATTTTTTTTTGTTTTTTTTTGGGGGGGTGGGGTCAAGATACCCTTCCGTCTTTTCAACATCACATGTATTTTATTGAAACATGGTTGCTATATTATACAGATTATTATGATTTTATGAAAAATATTTATCCTTATTTTCTTCATTAGATGATCATTGATTAATAAATTTATCATTTTGAGCCAGATTATTCTGTGTCGGATTTGGAGAAATAAGTAAAGGAGCCATAGCCCTATCAAAATTTAAAGTGAGATGGTTATCAGTTTCCATGTGCAGACGGTCATAATTCACTGACACCAGACTTGGTGCAAATATCATTAACGGGTGTACAAGTCTGCACACAGCAAACACCTGTAGTCCCATCAAGAAATACCCCCCCCCCCCAGTCTTTTGGAGAGTCTTCTGGTGAGGGAAATGTAATATTATAATGACTTTACCATGTGGGGGAATGGGTGGAAAATGCAGAACATTATAAAAGGTCTTAAAACCGAAGGCTAATCTTGGCGATTCACAATACATGCTATTTGGTACACCAGAGCTGCCAACGATTTAATCATGTTTCGTACCATATTTAGAAGTAAAATCGAGAGTACGATCTTCCTCAATAAAATGCGATTTTCCAACCAAAAAAACAAAAACAAATTTTTTTTATTTATTTTTTTTATAATTTTTTTAAATTTTGTCTGTGTGTGCTATTTTCAATGGCAAAATGCCCATTCTGTCCTGTAAAGTATCCTACAAGCATCTCACATCGGCAATTTGGGGATGTTTATTGTTTCAACGGACACACCGGTCAGATGCTGCATATTCAACCAATGATCCATTAAAAAAAATCTTCCTGTATGTACGAACTTTAAGAGGCATTGATCCGTGTTTTTTTTAGAATGCAATTTTGTCAGTAAAATAAAACTTTTGGGATTAAAGAATACAGTTTTTGAACTCCAGAGGTTGGCAGAGTGGTGTCGAATTCCCTATGAGAGCCTGTTACTATACATCTACAATATCTTCATTCATTCTCTATCCAGGGACCAAGGTGGCATCCTAGCGTGTTGCAATCCGGTACCCCCGTTGGTCAAGCAGAACATCAATGAAATCTATCACTTTATCTTAGAAGCGAGAGGTTACCAGGCAAACAAGGAGGGCAAGGTAAGGCTCTGAATAACTCTATATTATTATTATAATTATTATTTATTTAAGCCCAGGGTGCTACAAGAATTTTTTTCACCACTTGCCCTGTCGGGCAAGTGGGTTTTCAATTTACTTGCCCAAACAATATTTCCACTTGCCCAAAACTTTAAAGCGAAAAAGGACTCGAGGTTAAAGCATTTATTATCTCGTAATGATAAGTTCGTGTTTTAGATAGCAAATTAATGCACATACATGTACAGTGTAACTGTACTGAATAATAACCTAATATGTCAAAGAAAATGGTCAACAAAGGATGGTTGAAGGTTTAAAAAACGCATTTTATTGATTCTCCATAAATAATCAGATTCACATGAATCTCGGCAAGGTAGAATGGTTCAAGCAGGTTTAAGTTTTTAATATTCAGTCATGTAAAAAAGCATAATGACCCTGTTGTAAAAAATATGATACAAACATGTCATTAATGGTAGCCACATGAATAAATATCAAACATTTGACTTTTTGTACTTACTAGAAAATCCCTGTTGTTTATTCCATTCCGATTCGCACGTGTTCATTTCCCTAGAATAATGACGTCATATTTGGCGTGATTCAGAGAATAGCAAAGGCCTGTCGGTGCGGCCTGCAGAGCTAGAGAGAGAGAGCGCGAATAAGCTCGCAGCTGGTACGATCGCGCTAGCTGTCTCTAGCTAGCTCACGGCCGGCCGTGCGTGGAGGCGGAGCGGCATTCATGGCTTGAAGTGTCACTGTTGCATGCGCGCTGAGCTAGCTGAGCTGGCTAGCTGTCTGTGAAGTTTTTTCGAAATCGGAACGATCGCTTTTTTGCTTCTGGATTTTGACGACGGGTAAGAAGTTGACGGGTGAATGGTAGAGTTCTTGGACACTAGGAAATTACTGTAAAAGTATCACTTGCCCGAATCGGGCAAGTGATAATTTGATTTACTTGCCCGACGGCTCAATTTGGTTGCCCCGGGACGTCGGGCAAGCGGGTTTGTCGCGCCCTGAAGCCAATCATAAATCATACAATGAGTATAACAATCAGATAATACATTGGAATTTCATAATACATGCAAACAGTTTTAGGAAGTTGGAGAGGAGAGAGAGATATAATCTCCATTGTATTTATCGTGGGATAGATATATATGAAAGGTAATGCAAAGTTGTGGGGAATTTCGAACATTTGATGGATAGTGATTCTTTAAAATATTGATATATGCGGATGCCCCTGTGGATGTATTTTGAGCCCTAGAAAATTTAGCCCCTGAAACACTTCTGCTTTCGAAAAAATTGAATATCAAAATTTATTGGTGCTCTCTGTAAATTTCAAATAGCGCCTACGGCCATAGAGTGGTAGCTGCGACCATGAAAATCTCAGAGTATGTAGTTGTGATATACAATTTCCAAACACGGGAATAGACAATTGGTCAACTTTAGTCAAGAAACAGTGTTATGCCTTGGCTACAAAGTAGCCTGATGCATTATTTTAAAGTTAAAGTAATATCAATCTTAAGAGGGGCCTATACAACTTAAAGAGTTTATTACTTACAATTTCATCACTTTGTACTTGATTTTAACCACGACAACGTTCATTGAATATCGTAGGATTGCATATGCTTCCAATATGTTCATTTGAACAAAATTTATGACCGCATTCCAAAACTTTTAGGACAGTTATACTTTCAGAGGGGAAGTGTAATTTCAAGTTTAAAATGCTATTGTTTGCTTTGCCTATTTGCTTAGCATAAGCTAAATTACAGGTTCATGTACTTGTAATATTTTAAACCTCAAATGTTTTTGGAAAGTTGCTAGCAAACTACTGATTGTGTTCAAAGGTTATGTTCTTCACTTTTACAATGAGATTCATATTATTGTTTCTTTTACAGGTTAAAAAGGGCGAGGTGTTTGCCTCCAAAACCAACACCTTCTCCGCACCTCTCATTGACCCTCTGGAGAGCCTGCTCTACTGTCCCCATGACAACAACGTGCACCAGGAAGGTCAAAGATCAACAAACGACCTCTCTGGTAAGGGACCAAGTGATATGAATTTTGAATCTTGGAATTCAACAAAATATGATTCATTATTTTCTAAGAGATATATATGTGAAGTACGTGTTCAAGCCAATTTCTAGATAACTTGAGTGTTTATACAAAAATAGCAAAGTTTGTGATTTATTTATTTAAACAGGTGCAAAATAATGTTTGTTTCATGGGGCGTTAGTTTATAAGAGATGACACCTCTGCTCTATGACACCATGGTTCCTTTTACAATGAAAAGATGAATAGTTATCATTCACAAAATCGAAAGCCTGTTCTAAAGTAGATATTCTGGTTGACCGAAAGTTTCATTTATCAAGACACATGTATGTTGTATGTTGCAATTTTTAAAGCAAGATTTCCCATACAAGTTCATAAATAAATTTCTATTTCCTGTTGTTTCTGTGGTCTTGTTGAGTCTTCACACAATGTTATTTCTTTGAAATATCTTTTTTTAGAAATCGTCTCTTTACCCAAGTAATAACCGAGATCACACTGCATTTCCTTTTACACTTGCCAGTGACCTTTGCTTACACTAGTCATACCATAGTGCGGAAAGTGTTTTAGTAATTTGACTCTAAAACATGCAAAGCATCCAGGATACATGGTTATCAAAATAGCTTTTTGTCTCTAGGCCATATTGGAATATGATTGCATGAACTAGGAATATCAGTTTTTGTAAGCATACAAACTATTATCCTTTTAATGGAGTAAAACTTTTAATTTTTCAGCAGCAAATGTTGTAGGCAGGTACTTTTGGAAGTCTAATTCTACAAACCTCATTAAGCCATATTCAAAGCGAAGGTTGAGTTCTGGGAAGAGGTGAAAAATAATTTGTGAGCATTATCACTAAATAATGCAAGTGTGGAAGAACATCAGATAAAAATAATCCCTGAAAAGCATGGCTCTTCAAATACATTCATATTCTAAATATGGCATGTAACAGCATACAAAACAGATTTTTATACCACATGTTTGTGTAGTCCCATATACATCTTTCTCTGTACAGTGCTTGTAACTTTACCAAGACTGGGCCAAACTTCTTAATTTGATGATTCCAGGACCTTGCAGTACACACCAATACTTACTAGATAATCAATCTTTTCTGACCGATTCCACACTGTTTCTTTCATAATGCAATTGCATGAACAGAACTCAACATGATCTTTAACCCTTACTGTACTGGGGGGGGGGGGGGGGGGGCCTGGGAGGCCCCCCCCCTCGACATTTTCGGAGATTGCGCCGCAACCGCTTGAAATTTTGAATTGTCGTTTCATGACTTTTTTCCCTCAAGTCTTACGCACGTTTTGATACCATTTTCGTCGCAATCGGATATACCTGTGAGGTGTTACATAACAATTAGTATGCGCATGTCATCAAAAATATGCTATAATTGCATATATTCATGTACAAGCAGAAATGTGAATACAGGTTTAGATGTATTCCTTCCTAAGTGGGTGATATGAATTGATATCGAATTGCTTTTATATGTTTCTCAAAGTAACTTGATGTATTCCAGAACAAAAGAATACATAAGAAATAAAAACAATAGATATAATAAGAAATAAATAAACAATAAAATACATAAGAAAATAAATATTTGAAAATCGCATCAAATTTGCATAAATTATCATTATTAATTACATCCAAATAAATATTTTGTGTTAGAAAAGAAGTTTCATATGAATAATGAGTTTCAACGTTCAAAAAGTGAAGTTTGACACGTTTTCTGTAAAATGCATACAATTAGCATTTTGCATAATTAATTAGGCTATAACGACAAAAATTTGCATATTCGCAAAAAACTAATTACACCATCTTGTTCGTTACGTAAATATCTACAAACATGCAAATTTTCGTGTTCATCGGACATCCGACGACCGAGATCATAGGGGGGGGCCTCCTAGGCCCCCCCCCCCCCCCCCCCAGTCAGGAGGTGCTCAAAATAGCCCAGTACAGTAAGGGTTAAAGGACCTAGGATAGAACCTTGTGGTAAATTTTTTTCCTTTTTAAAATTTTTTTTTTTTTGTACCGACTCTGCAAGTCAGGTCCGTGTGAAAAAGCGGGAAGGACTTTCATTTAACTGCGAGGTGCATTTGAAGGCGCCGATTTATGCTTGTGAACTTGTCACAAATAATAGTAATGTCGTTCTTAGAAGAATGTGTAAGATCATTAATGTAAATTAAAAACAGTAGAGGACCTAGGATAGAACCTTGTGGTAAAAGTTGGATGAATTATTATTATAAACTACATATTGAAATCTATTACAAAGATTACTTTCAAACCAAAATGACAGACAAATTGGAGCGTTGTTCTAGTTTGGGAGTGGTGAGTCAACACACAGATTACTGAGCTGGGAGACATTGCCAGGCATAGTGCCAGGTGGAGGGGCATAAATCGAAATTTAAAAAAAAAAATTAAAAAAAAAAACAGGAAAACAAAACCGTCCAATTGAAAACGGAATCCGCCATGGGTGGTCGGATACCGGACGGTTAAATGTTTGACTACAGCACTACTTTAAAGATGAAGTTGAGTTCTGGTCATGCGATTACATTGTGAAGGAAACGGTGTGGAACCGACCAGAAAAGGTTGATCATCTAGCGTATAAGAATTTGTGTGTATTGCAAGGTTCTGGAATCATCAAAATGATAAGAAATTTGGCCAAGTCTTGGTAAAGTTACAAACACTTGCACAGAAAGATGTATATGGGACTACACGAACACGTGGCGTAAAAAGCCGGCCCCCCGATTTTTACGATGTTACATGCATATTTAGAATATGAAGGCATTTGAAGAGCCATGCTTTTCAGGGAACATGTCTTAACTGATGTTCTTCCACACTTGCATAATAAGAATGAGTAATGCTCACAAATTATTTTTCACCTCTTCCCAGAACTCAACCTTCTCTTTGAAGGATGAGAGGCAGTAGTGTATTTGAAGGAGGGGCAAATGGGGCACTTTGTCCTTCCTGATTTGCCTTGATAATAGTAAGCAGGTCAAGAAATGGAATGGCATGTAGGCAGATTCTCAGAAGCCTCCTTTTCTTCCTCAAGTAAGTCATTGACTGTAACACAAACCAGTTCCATTCTTCTGAAAAGTATGTGGACCCAAATATGTTGAGATGTTTTTTCCCCTCCTGATGCCACAGTTTCGATACGCCCACTGATAATAGGTGTACGCTTACAAAACTGATTTTCCTAGTTTATGTTACAGCCGATTCTTACACTTCTGAACTATTAGGACTGATTTGGGACAAATCCTATCATAACTGATACCTTAAAAGGCAGACAAAGTAATCAATAACGATCGGATCAAGTTGTCAATCGATGAGGGGGCGGAGAAGGAAGGAAGAAGAAAAGCAAATCGTCTGCCAGTCTGGGATACCCAGGAAATCGTTAAGAGCCCATAACTGAAACTATTGTTTCATTAATAGATACGATACTAAAAGCAGATAATGTTTCATGAATTAATTGTTAACATTTAGATTGCAGTAAATATCACGTTACATGTATCCTGTAAGTGTAGTACTTACAGAGTTTACAGTACTTTTTATAGCCTTTTAACTGGGTTAATAGGGCAACTTTAAAGCCCCACTGCATTAGTTTAGCCAGGAGGGATAAGACCTCCCTGCATGGTCACTGACAGGTGGTTATCTCATCAAATCAGCTCTCAATTAACATAAGAAAAAGGGGACCATAGGGGACCAATGGTCACCGATTAGGCATTGTTTGCTATATAGAGGGCGCAAGTAGCTACAAGTAGTGCAGTGGGGCTTTAACAGGTTAATAGGGCAACTTTAATGACAGTGTTCTACAGAAATTCAAACTCGACCCTGGGTCTGAAGTCTAGTTATAACCCAGAAATTTAGACCGAGATATAAGATTTCCTTTTGTCCAATTTAGACCTAAGTGTCTAATAGCATAGTATTTATTGGGTTAATGGATAATTAAGCCGTCTGATTCTCTGGAATAAAAATGGTTTAAAGAGAAGGTTGAGTTTTGGGGAGAGGTGAACAATTATTTGTGAGTGTTATCGTTATTATGCAAGTGTGGAAGAACACCAGAAAAAATGTTCCCTGAAAAGCATGGCTCTTCAAATGCCTTCATATTCTAAATATGACAAGTAACATTTACAGCTTAAAAATGAGGCCCTATTTTATGCCGCAAGTTTGTGTAGTCCCATATACGTCTTTCTGTGTACAGTGCTTGTTACTTTACCAAGACTGGGCCAAATTTCTTATAATTTTGATGATTCCAGAACCTTGCATGATCAACTTCTTTTGATCGATTCCACACTGTTTCTTTCACAATGCAATCGCGTGACCAGAACTCTTTAAGTGCATTATTAGAATGTGGACTTGAGTGTTATGTTTATTGCATCCAATTAAGCCGGCTGTCACACATTGTTGCATTGTGGGATGGTGGTATAGTGGTGCATAGATAAACCTGTCTGACTTCTTCTTCTTGTATCCTAGCTTCAACTCGTAGAGATACAATGAGATGTCAGATACAAAATAATGCGTGAGTTTGATAAAATCTGCATGAAGAGGGAGTACCATGATGATAATAGTAATAATAGTAATAATGATAACCTACCTGTAGCCTTCTATTGTGCATTTCATCTTCAGAGAAAATCTGATTGTGCTTTACAATTATAAAACGACAAAATTTCAAGATAACTACTAATTCATGAACTATTAATTAATAGTGCTATTACTCATAGCCATTTCCTAATAATAAAGATCAAAATGCCTTGTCTAGATCCAAGTGCTTTATTTGTTCTTTAGATATTTCAATACTTTTGATGAACTTTTTCATCACCATAGGAAAATGCACCAGTAAATCCGCTCACTTTGGTCCAGTGCCCATGCATCAATAACAAATTAGGGGGGGGGGGAATGAGGAGAAAAAGCACCCAGGAAAAAACAATTGAGAACAAAAATTACTGAATTCACTGACTGGCGGTCAATGACCTTTAGTAAACTTGGCACGAGCTTGATTTTACTAAGATTGTTTTTCCTGTTTCGGTCTGATAAAGGTCTTTGACCGTGACGTTGGTGAAACTATTTGCTTTAGTGGTGTTTTATTATTAAAGACTCTTTTCCTGTTTTGTTATGAATAAAGTATACATTCAAGATTCCTCTTTCCTGTTCGCTCGAAGCTGCCAGAAAAAAAATCCTCTGAAGTCTTTATATTTCCACTTTCCAGCTATATGCATCATGAGTGTCTTTGCAAGTTATTGAGAATCTAAAATTTCACAGAAAATATCCCAGCCCTGTCAGAGGTAAATCCAACCGTAGTAGACAGCTACTCTTAAAGAAAGCAGAAATATCAGAGAAGTAGACTGGTGAAAATTGGAATGAAATAGGACAAGATATAAGAAAGATGTAGTCACTATACGTATGGGCACTTCAAAGTGGCTGAATCTGTATGTCACTGTGACATAGTGACGGACAACTTTCCGAATTGTTTCAAAACTCAAAATGACTAAAATTACAATTTTTCAAAATGTATGAATCAAAAAGGGGACTTTTTTGTTTAGAGGACCTATAGTATGCTATCCATGATATACTTAGAGTAGTGCCCCAAGGGAGAAGGCATTTAATGTTGTTTTGAAACATGAAAAAATAGGCGAGTTATCTGTGACTTCTTCACAATAAACTGACCAAAGTGACAATATGAAATTCACATAGATTTAGTGATATCATATTTTACGCATTCATAATCATAATAAGTCTCTTCTTATTTGTCTGATTTATTTCCAACTATCGTTTTTTTCTGCTTTCATACAAATGAGCTTATTACAACTGTTAGATTGCCCTTTCGGGTTAGGTTAACACTTTTCCCTCTATGGCTGACTATCGGAAGGAATGGTGGAGGGCCACTGTCGACCTTTGACACATGGTAGTGGTAGTGGTGGTTATTTTACCTGACTGCTATGAAAACATAAATGCTTGTGAGGAATCAATCAGACGGCGGACGGCTTTAGGTCCTCTCCGAGGGACCTGGTAATGAGGATTAATGCCTTACCAAAGTGCACTAGCGCATCGACTTGGTTTCGAAGCCGGGTCGCCGGATTACGAGACCACTGCTCTACCGACTGAGCTATCGCGCCTCCTCTGTACCATATACTCCGAACAATGTAATCGTCTTTGGCTCCATTGCAGAGCACGTCAAGAAAATGGTAGCAGTTAATATGCTTCCTTAATTACTGGGAACTTTTCAGATTTTAAACCTTATATCCCTTTAAATTATTTTCCCCAGGGCCATCTGTTGAAATGACCTCCTCTTCCAGTCTCTTTGGTGGCGCCACAGCGACCTTGGCAAAGGTTTCCGCAGCCGCACCCATTATCACGATCTTTGACACGCCCTCTAGTGGTGCCGCAGAGCAAATGGACGTAAAGAGGAGTGCAGCCCAAAAGAAGATTGAACGGTTGACGGCATTGTTTGCAAATCCCTTTGAAATGGTAAGTCGCTTTGGATGCAGCATGTCGGGTCTAGCTTGAGGTGTAAATCAAGTGAAAGTCTAGCTCCCTCTTCAGTTGGCACATATAACAGTTGCTAATGATAGTCATGATCCTTATGATGATGATGATGGTGATGGTATAGTGTTCATGATGATGATGAGGGTGATGAACTGAAGATGATGATGATCACAGTGATATTGAAGATGGTTTGTTGGTGATGGTGATCATGATGATGATTATGATTTTTATATTGATGCTGGTGGTGGCGAAGATGATAACGGGCAAAGGATTTTCTTTTCTACTGATGATTATTATTTCGATTATTTTCATCACTGTTATTTGGATATTAATGTTAAATGATTATATATGATAGCATTGGATTTATCAGTAGTCCTTTCATTATTTCTATTTAGTGTTAAAAAATTGACAATTGCTCAATAAAATTTGGATAATAAAAAAACACATGCAAGTTTTTAGTAACTTCAGCAAAAGAAATAATATAAAAAAGTCTTTGTCGTAACAAATTAAAGGATGGAAATAACCTGTTTTTGCCTTGTACATGTAAGTATTGAACTCCGTAAAAACATTTGTTTATGATACATTAACATACTGTAGGCTGCATTATGTTTGACTGAGTTTAATTTAAATTTAAATTTTAAAAAAAAGCAAAGACTGGAAAAATTGTACATGCAGAGAAGAAGCAATGCAACATTTTTTGACACCGTGAAAGACTCATGAATGCTTCATGCAACCATTTACAGCTGAATAACTAGTCATTCTGTGACGTTGTGCTCTTATTGAGTATGCCAAGATCTAGTAAACATGTCTCCAAGATCTTTGAAGACCTTAACCAGTCGACCTGAGGGAGATGCATGCTTAAATTTAATTTCCATGTTTCATGCTGTGATTACAGAGTGCAATATTGACCGGTTTCCTGCCCCATCTATCGAATGTATCACACCTACATGTATGAGCGATTAATATCATTCCTGATTCAATGTGGGATGCAGAATTTGTTATTGTTATGCGTATCATGGTTTCCAGGGTTTATTCCATCAGGCAAAGAGAGAGATAAGAAGAAGGAGGAAGAAGTGTGTGAGAGTGAGAGTGAGCAGGAAAGAGAGAGAGAGAGAGAGAGGAGGGAGGGGGATAAAGACAGATTTAAATTAAAAAGGAGAGAGAGAGTGTGGAAAAAAGAGGAAATAAAGTCAAACCTGCTAGTGACCACCTGTCTTCAAAGACCCAATTTTTTGTTTTCCTTGAAAATGGTTTATCATTGAAACAGGTACTATTAGCACCTGTACATAAAGACCACTGCCTGTAAAGACCACTTTTCTTGTCTCTCTTCGGTGGTCTTTATAGACAGGTTTCACTGTACATCTGGAATTGTGAGGGAGAGAAAATTGGGAGAAAATTGGGAAAGAAAAATATAAATATATCAAGGGAGGGGGGGGGGGGGGGGGACATAAAGAGGAAAAGAGAAAGTGACAGAAAAAATGCATAGATAGATAGAGAGTGGTAGATAGAGAGTGGGCTAGGGAAGGGGTGGCAAGGCGTCTGTTCCTGTTTGTTAAAATAAAATACCAATGCAACTACGTTCATGCCAAGTTTTGGCTCTGAATTTTAAAAGTACACTTTGATCCTATTCTCCTCAATGGAACCCATCGATATAAAATGGTGAAAAAAGGATTAAGATTGCTCAAATTTATATGGAAAACAAAAAGCAAATTCTTTTTTTGTCCTGTAGTAATGGTGATGAATTTTGCTTGAAGCTATTTTTTAAGCAATGTAAGATAGGTAGTTATACAGATGCACAATTTAAATGGTGATGAATTTTGCTTGAAGCTATTTTTGAGCAATGTAAGATGGATAGTTAATTAGTTATACAGATGCACAATGTATACCACTCTTTTTGGCTTTTAAATATTTATTTTGAACTTATAATAATGTATACGTGGGATAGGCTGATTGATTGATAGACATCTAATACATGAGTAATAGCTGTCCTATTGTAGACTACATATCCATGCAGGTGCATTAACTTGTTAAAAGAAGAGAAAACAAGACCTCCTTACATCTTTATTTAAAGAGGAGGATGTATTTTTTTTCTCGGAGGGGGTAGGAGAGAGAGAAGCGGGATTGGGGAAAAGAGGGAGGGAGAGAAAGAGAAAGAAAGAAAGAAAGAAAGAAAGAAAGAAAGAAAGGAAGAAAGGAAGGAAGGAAGGAAGGAAGGAAGGAAGGAAGGAAGGAAGGAAGGAAGGAAGGAAGGAAGGAAGGAAGAGAGAGAGAGAGAGAGAGAGAGAGAGAGAGAGAGAGATAGAGAGAGAGGGAGGAAGGAGGAAAGAAAGAAAGAAAGAGAGAGAGAGAGAGAGAGAGAGAGAGAAAGATAGAGAGAGAGAGAGAGGAAGGAAGGAAGAAGAAAGAAAGAGAGAGAGAGAGAGAGAGAGAGAGAGAAAGAAAGAAAGAAAGAAAGAAAGAAAGAGAAAAAAAGAAAGGATGGTAGAAGGAAGGAAGAGAGATAGTAAGTAAGACAGAAACTTTAAGTGTAGCCATTTTTAGACGGAGACAAGAGAGAGGAATTAAGGCATGGCGCAGAGTCGTTGGCAATATATAACAGTATAGTCCTATCCTCCAAGCTTGATTAAATTTCTAATTGCCTAAGCCGCAAGATGCTGTCGGGGGGAAGTCGTATGTGTAAGAACATCTGCAATCATGAGCCCGATAAATCCATCTTGAAACGCTGGACGACGTCCAATATCAAGAGACATCCATTGTGCTCGGATGTCACACTCTCCTTCTACCAGGCAAGCCCCTACCCCCCAGCCGCCCCCCACCGGGCGTGGCAATATCAGGGGAGAGAGGCGCATGAGTAACACCCTGCCGGTGATCAATCCCCCAGCATGGGGCCGTTACGTTCCCCTCTTGGTTCTTGTCTCGCTCCTTTCTTTCACCGAGTGTGGTAGGACAGATTAATATCGCAAAATTTTGATGAAACGGGCTTGCTCCTTTTCTCGCGAGGTAATTAAAGAGTGGATGAATATTTCCTCAATGAAATCCAATTTCAATAGCCGCAGAACAGATTAATGCAGTGAATTATTAATAAGCATGTTGGTTGTATTGTGAGCAATGTTGAGAAAAAGGGTAGTTGTATACATTTTGATCATCAAATATAGCTTCATTAATGTTCATGCTACTGGTCTGGAATTGGCGTGGGTTAGTGTGGAGCATTGTTAAGCAAGCTAGCTGTTTATTTTGATTAATTTTAATTTGCTCATTCATTTTCTGCGTAATGAAGCACCTCCCCCCCCCCCCCCTTCTAAAAAAAAATGCAACTACAATGTAGAAATGTTTCTTTTTCATTCATCTGCGTTTAATGTGACAGCATGTAATATTTTCATCAGAGTATGATATTTGGTTGATTGCGGCTTCATTAAAAAATGACAAAAATATTGAGGAAGAATATATTTATTCGAAGCATAGGGAAGAGTAAAGTAACTATAGTAGCGATGGGCTGAATCAGTTTTTATTTAAATCTCTACTTGACATCACAAAGTGAGCCTTTTTAGGATGAAATTACTATGGAATCACTAAGGTGAACTAAGTTTTCAAATATTTGTACATGTACATTAACTTTAAACATTTATATCAGCATTTTATTTGGTGCATTCTTGTAAATAAATTAGTCTACCGGTAGTAGGTAGATGAAGGAATTTAAGTGACAGGAAATATATTGTACGTTTAAAGAATCCGATCAAAGAGAAATAATAATAAAATCTCTTCTAAAAGTATTTATTTTATATGAAGACAATAATGATCGAGGGAGAATTTCTTCTTCTAACATCTTTTTGGTTAAACTTTGTTCGGCCTACACTTTATGCAAATGGCTGTCATGTTTCTATGCCTCTGAATGTGTGCCTCATGAAATGTGTCTGTTATTTTTCACTGCCTTAAAAATAGTATTTATGCATTTTTAAAAACGCCAGCGTTTTATAGTCTGCACAGGTGTTCGATTATAATGCCTCCATTTTGCCATTTATCTGGCGACCTTGCCCTTCCCCTTCCATTTCCTGTTGGAGTCTGTCAGGCAATTCTCACTAGTAAACTTCGCGATGAAAACACTCGCGATACTTCACTTCACGATTCACACCAACTTCAAAACTTTACAGAGTTCAGGATTGTAATTTGTTTGTGGGCATTTTGATCCCAGCCAACTTGCGTTCTTATAATGGGTGAACCGTCACAAAAATTTGTTTACAGAGCATGTATCTGATTTATTCTTAAGTAAAATTCATTATTTAATTTGATTTTTTCCCCAATAATGGAAATTTTTCACATGTTGTTATCTCCCCATTTCTTATACTTCTTGACCAACTAATGATTATCTTTGATTAGCAATGGTGCTGATTGTTCGTACGGATCAAATTTGTGCGCGACATACAGAGGAAGTACCAGCAGTCATGTGAGAAACTCTGAGGAGTTTGTCATTGAATTAACACTGGTAAACTCGCAAGCGGTTCACTTGCAAAGATAGAAGAACCACTAGTCTGCTAGCTAGTGTTTGCTCACGAGTTGTCTTTAATAAGGTTTTTCTTTCCACATCAGAAAAAACGCACCAAACTGCGCAGATTTGCTATAAGTGAGAATGGCCCTTACATGAATGTGAAGGATGAAAATCACTTAATGATCTATATACGTATTACTTCAGATTCATTGAAAAATAGCAGGTGTCTGTTCATGCTAGATTATTCACGTCCTCCACAAATCGCTCATTTCTAATATAAAAGATGACATTTGAAATATCAATTTCTTTGTAATTCTTCTGCGAGCTACGGCTAATTGTATGGCCCAACTCTTGACAGACATGCCACCAAATCGATCGGAAACGGGGAATCTAGTTTTCCTGTATTCTACTTTTTGAGGTGATGAGGCTTTGAAGATAAGGGGGCAAAAAGGTTGGGTAGCACCAAAATCATTAATCTATTCAAAAAGTCTAGACAACATCTGAAAGCTATTTGGATGATACAAAGTAATGATTTCTTTATGATCTCATTGACCTAATGCTAGTGCCAAGTGATACAATTCTAAATAAGTATGTATGCTGTGCTCTACATGTATGTGTAGTTATTCCTTATTATGTTTATAACTCTACACACAAATACCTGCAATGATCTGACATTTGACATTTTTGCTTTCTAAAGTGACATTTGCTCCTGGCCCCCCCCCCTATCATCTAGAGATATAAGGTTAGGCTTGGGTTGTGTTTTTTTCTTTGTTAGGTTTAAATTTATTTAGGGCTTTTAGGTATAGTAATAGTATATAGGGACAATAAGAGGATTTTTTTTGTATTGAGGGTGGGGAGGGGGGGGGGGGAATATGCATATGCATTTGCTCTAAGCCCCCTAGTATTTATGTCACTAAATTATTAATTTAACTTGACCACCACTTCCCTTAGATCCCCCATTTCAGTGGTCAGTGATGCTAAAGTTTCATTTGTTACCCTGCAGTACACTGTATGTACCAAGTGATTAGTTGTTTTGCGATGACACACAAAGAGAAATTATAAACATACCTCATTTTTACCTAGAAGTGTGAAGCAAAAGTGTTTAACTGTAATTGTCTATTTTACTCATCAACACAGTATTTGCCGTCCACCAAAGTGAGGCAGATTGCTCAAAGGGTGCTGGACGCGGACAAAATCACCATGGATACCAAAAACACACCATCAAAGGAGGTGAGTCAAGGGTTCAAAGTTCATAAAAATGTTCTCTTTATTGGAGAATGTGGATGTAGAACAGCATTGAGAATATAACACATTTTCTTGTTTTTGTTGTTAGCCTTGAATAGGTTAATACCTGTATAAACCTTGATTTTGATTGGCTGTTGAGCCCTGTTACCATGGTAGTTGCCATTGATAGCAAAGTTACCATCAATGCAACAGGGTTCAGGTGTGCATTTTTTAAAATGTGTAAGTGTTCTATGCTTTCATGGGATAAAGTTAAAGGCCCACTGCACTACTTGTAGGTACTTGTGTGCCCTCTGTATAACAAACGATGTCTAATCGGTGACCATTGGTCCCCCATAATTTTCTTTTTCTTATGTTATTTGAGAGCTGAGTTGATGAGATAACTACCTGTCCAGTGACCTTGCAGGCTGGTCTAATCCCTCCTTTACATTAGTACTGATGAGCTTTAAAAATTTTAAGTTTTTATTTTGTAATTTTTACACTTTTTTCCATCTCTTTGGGTTCATTAAAAGACCTTTTGTAATTATTTTAATATGAAATAAGGGTCCTCTAAAGAAATGAGGTGACATTGGAAAGAAATATTTACTTGATTTTTAATTGAAGTCATTCGGAATTAAAGTACAAATCTTAGGAAGATATATGATATCATTGATAAGCTATTTTCATTGTTGTTGCATTTTCATTTATGTTTACATTGCATCCAATTAAGCCGGCTGTCACACATTGTTGCATTGTGTGATGGTGGTATAGTGGTGCATAGATAAACCTGTCTGTCTTCTTCTTCTCGTATCCTAGCTTCTTAGAGATACAATGAGATGTCAGATACAAAGAAATGAATCCTACTGAAATTTATATTTGAGAATTACATACTATGAATGTTAGCATTGACAAAGATTGCCCAGAAGTGGATGCTTATTAAATGTGTTACTCCATAATGGTATATATGCATAATGTTGTGTTAATTTGACTCTACTTTAATATTAGACTTTTGTACAAATCAGATACTACAATAACATTAGAAACAATTTGAAAGATTGAGAGCCAATTTAAGGATGAGAATTAAAAGTGCTCATTATATAAAAACATAATGAAATTAACTTATTTAAGAAGAATGGATTTTAAATTTGTTCTCTAGTGTAGAGCTCAAAACATTTATTCACGTCGGTCATCGTAGGATTGTACATACCGGTATGGAACAAACTTATTGACAGGAATTGTGTAATATTAAAACGATTATACATTGATATTTTTTTTGCCTTTCCAGATCTCCACCTTCCAGCCTCTGTCAGTGTGGATAATGAAGAAAGCCACGCCCAAACCAGCTGTGGAGAAGGAGCCTCCGACGGAACCAGGACGGAACCAGGATCCAGGAACGTACGAGACCCCCATCGTCTTTAACCCAGATGCTGCCAGGAAGAGGAAGCAAGAGGAGGAGGAGGAGGCTGAAGATGAAGCCGTCCCAGTTAGACAGATGGTAAATATAATATCCTTTTGTATCATATTTAAAAATGTTTGTTAGCTATTAAATTAACCCTAAGGACCTGAACTACAGGAATTATCTTTCCAGGCACTACTTGATCTGCTCGCATCAGACCATAATACTTCTGAATTGTGGCCTTTTCTGTGGCAACTAGTTGAAAGGGATTCGGCAACTGTCTCAGATCCTTTAAGAAAATTTAGCTCATGCTGCATTCAAAATTATAAACCTTTGGGTCATACGTGAATCCCATGACTTTCACAAGCCAATCGCATGTCTGATTATCAAGATATTTATGATTGAAAATCATAATCAAATTTTGCGGTTTCCTAACGGTTTTCGTGACACTACAGTCTATTGGGTAAAATGAGTATGGTAAAACCGGTCACTCACCGATTTTTACTTTCTTGAGGCACTTCATGATCATTTTGAAGCGCACTTTTTTTAGGGCTTCAATATTACACCATATCACAGACACTGATAACAGATGATGGGCCTTGTTTAACATTGTTAAATGATGACTTTAAGATTGCCTTAAAAACATTTTTTCCCTTTTTCTAATCTGTAAAGGGTGACACATCTGCAAAGAAGAGAAAGCACTCTGCCAATCCGAGCGGAGAGACACCCAGGCCCAAGAAGGATCGCAGGGGAGAACATGCTGAGAGGAGGAGCATGGGGGACACGGGGGCAGCAGACAGAGGTCATCACCATGGCAACCAATATGTACGGGAAGCGGAGGAGAGAGTCATAGAGCCTTACGATTACAGCAGAGCAGATTACGGCATGTTTCAAGGTAGGCATGAAACTGTGAACTCTTCTTTCTCTCTATTTTTATGTTACCACTTACCCCTCCCTCCCCTTCCTCCCTCCCTCCCCTTCCTCCCTCCCTTCCCTCTCTCCCTTCCCTCTCCCTTTTCCCCCTTGCCCCTCCCCTTTCCCCTCCCCTTTCCCCTCCCCTTTTCCCTTCCCCTCCCCTTCCCCTCTATCCCCTTTCCCCTCCCTCCCTTCCCCTCCCTCCCTTCCCCTCTCTCTCCCTTCCCCTCCCTCCCTTCCCCTCTCCCTCCCTTCCCCTCCCTCCCTTTCCCTCCATCCCATTCCCCTCTCTCCCCTCTATCCCATTCCCCTCCCCTCCCTCCTTTTTCCCATCTCTCCTTCTTCCCTCCCTCCCCCTTCCCATCCCTTTCTCTTCCCCATCCCCCTCCCCAATCCCCCTCCCCAATCCCCCCTTCATTCCATTCATGTTTCTTTGTGATGTCATTTGAGGTGTGCCACTGCTGCAACTAAAGTGACAGGAAGAGCATCTAGAGTTTGGAAGAGAGATGAACATTTTGTTATGTCTATCAAATAATGAATAAATCAGTTTAATGGGGGTAATTGGAGACACGCAAAACAAAACAGGAATAAAAGTGTTTTGATATATTCATCCCGATGGAATGATGCAGGCCCTTTCAGATATTATTTTTGGTAAATGATTTATGTGAAATATTAAAAAAAAAAAAAGGGGGGGGGGGGGGGGTCATCAATTTGCGTTTCCCCCAAAAAAGTAATCCCAGATAACCTTACATCATGCGCTATATCTATCAAAGTTTTATAAATTGTTTCCTCTGATTTTCAGCTGAAATGTTTTGTTTCTAGTTCAAGTATGAAATACAACATATTGCCTATCCATGTATGTTTGTTTAAATAAAAACTTTGTTTTCCGTTTTTTCATATCGTCCTGATCAAAGACTCCCAGCGTTCCAGAGGTAGAGGAAGAGGTCGAGGTCACAGAGGTCATGACAGGGGTCGTGGAGGTCGTGGACGAGGTCATTCAAAGGTAAGAATATACAACTCCATCAGGTGTTAGTGTCCATGCGTTTATTCGTTCACTGTCGATGTTTCAGAAGGGTCAAATAGAGCCCTGATATTACTTCTTGAACTCAACATGAAATCTTGCATGATGTTTCTATGGAGGAGAAATGGTTCTAGGACACCTACCCCCTGGACAACCACCCCTAAGAGAACCACCCTCTAGGACAACTACCCCCCAAGGACAACTACCCCCCAAGGACAACTACCCCCCAAGGACAACTACCCCCCAAGGACAACTACCCCCAGACATCTACCCCCAGACAACTACCCCCTAGGACAGCTACCCCCTAGGACAACTATCCCCTACGACAACTACCCCCACACCAGTACCCCTAGGACAACTACTCCTGGATACCTATCCCCGGACAACTACCACCCAGATAACTACCCCCTACGACAACCATCCTCTAGGACAATTATCCTAGGGGATAGTTGTCCTAGGGGGTACGTCCTAGGGGGTAGTTGACTGGGGGTGGTTATCCGGGGGTGGATGTCCAGGGGTAGGTGTCCAGATACGAGGAGAAATATGTATTCAATTCAATAAGCAATTGGCATTGCAACTTATAAAAGGTTGACATGGATGATGCTTGTAAGATGTGAGAAGCTGGAATTCATTTGCATATCCCTTGCGTCGTCACTGTAGTGAAAAAGAATGATGGTCTGTATGATACATGCACCACTTGATGTGAGTGGTGCACAACCAGCTAAACATATGGACAGAGAAAGCCCTAAATTTGTTTACAAGAGAAGTTCATGACGTTTAACAACTTAACTTGTAGTGATATTTCTCCAACTTTTTGTTGACTTTCAATGAATTGATTTGTCAGCCAAATCTTTGGATCTTTTTATCGTGATCTGGAAAAAGAAATCGCCATCAAGTTTTAATGATTTTTCAGACAAGAACCATCCACGTAATTTAAAAAAAAGAAAGAAAGTTTACAACAACAAAAATGAATATACAGTAGGCTTGCAGATGCACCATGTGAGAGAGACGGAGGATTGAGAAGGACTGAAAAGGACTCTTGGTAATCTTTCTTGAGGGTGTATAGTCCTGAAAAGGACTGTTGGTGTAGTCTTGAAAAAGACTGTTGGTTATTTTTCTTAGCTTATAGTTCTAAGGAGTTGACGCTTGCCCAGTTTTTATATAAACTCAAAACAGAAGAAAAATCCCCAAAATGGAAGAAGATTTTCATGTGGTAGATGATTGCAAATGATGTTTTTCTCACGATTGTGTACATAGCCCTACTATCAGGGTTTGCTGAAACTGTTTCAAAGTACTTCACTGATGCAATTATCACCACAAAATAGCCCTGAGTGATGTCAGAGTTTGTTTGTTTTTTGGGGTTTTTTTTTGTTTCATTTATTTTTTATGCGATGTCAGAGTTTTTATGAACCAGATCCCGACGGCCATGCACCGATCGGGAACCGGTGTCCGGGTGTAAATGGCGCATATCATCAGTGTACATACAGAGTAAATGCATTAGTTTATGTTCAGTCTGTATCTGTTGGCGGTGAGCTGAATGGACACAGATATAATGTCAGATTTATGCAGGACAGTCAGATATATAGAGCAAGAGAGAGAGAGAGAGAGATAGCGAGAGAAATTGTGTTATTGTTGAAATAACAAGATGGGAAATTTAATTATAATTTTTTTTTGTCACAAAAGGTTTATGCATTCCTAGAATAAATATGGATCTTTATTTTGATATTGAACGAACAACCAGATGAGACAAATGAGCAAACATAAGAAACAAACAAACATGCAAAACAAGGTTAGAATGCTCCCCAGGGAGTGGAAAATGTGCATACATTGTGTTGCGGGGAAGCCTGAATCCGATGACCGGGGTAATAATATGTGCTGCGCTTAGAAACAAAGTATAAATGTGAGCTATTATTATTATTACTATTTGGGAGGTCTCTCCCCTGAACACTGGATTCTCTCATATTCTTCCAAGGTTGTTGCACTTTAACGTATGCTGTTAAAAAATGTAAAAAATTTATAAAACCATCATGAATAATACAGTCAAATTAAGCCTGCATGGTTTATCACCTTGATTTCCCTTATTGCTTGTTTTTAATTTGCACTTTGCCTATGTTTGTGATATCTTGTATATCCTGTATATCTTGACCATTTTTAAGCTTGATCACACGTTTGCAGTCGGGATGATTATTATAAACTCATTTTTATTTTTTTTCTTCTCAGGGTCATCCCCGCCCTAAGGTTCACCAAGATGGAGGACGACGAAGCATGACCTACACGAATCACCGTGGCAACCAAGGGTATGTATTACATAACTCTATATTTAAATGTAAAAATTTGGATGAAAAGTATCTTCTTTTCGGGGGGTGATATGTCATATTTTTGGAGTGCCTGATTTTGCAGGTATACAGGGTGATATCACTTGCGCTCATGCATTATTCATTGCACAGTGCATATTGAAGCAAATGAAAACTTGAACATTACTTCACGTATGATGGCATCGTAATAAAATAATCACGCTAACCATTCCTGGAATTGGTTTCTCAAGGGACGTACAAATCTCGGTCACAAATCTACAGAATTTACATTTTTTGATAGTTCATTATAGAAGGACAATTTTTTTATCTAAGGATCATAACTTCTAAGGGTTTTTTCCTGCTATTTTTACATCTGGTTCAAGACTTTTTAAGGGCATAAATCGCTCACCGTAGTACACGTCCAGGTCTTAAATATAACTTACATTTACAATGTAAGTAACTTTTTCTTCAACAAGGAACTTTAAAAAAATGTAAATTCTGTAGATTTGTGATGTCCCTCGAGAGACCAATGGTGAGATAAACCAGTGGCATGAATGGCTTGCCATAGCTCAAGTCTTTGTGAAACACCCCCGTGTCTGATTAATTTAGTATCACACCTCCACGCATATCATGTTCAGCTCCACAGAGTCAGGAACCTTTGTTTTATCATCTTGTTTTGCAGAATATTAAATCAAATTTTCTGTTTTCTTTTTCAATAAAGAATATTTTATCTCCCAGAGTTAAAAAGGTAAAGGTGTTTATATTGTTTATCGCCTTGGTGACCCCACAGGCGTTAACTTTTTATGGCGGGGCTTAAAAGCATATGCTAAAAGGATGGGTGTTTTATGAGATTATAATAATGAAGAAAGATTATTAAACCCTTGAACTGCTAGAACACTTGAAATAAAGCCATGATATGGTTTTAGAAATCATAAAAAGAAGCCTTTGAACAAAATTCTGTAATTGATTAGAATTCTTATAACGCAATGTATGATTACATAAAAAGATGAACTCTAGAAGTATGAGACTAGAATTTTTTTTAAACATTAACCTACATTTATTTTGTTTTGCTGTTGGTGTTTATTTTTTGTTTCATTGTTATATTGAGCATCAAATATATTACATGGAGTAAACTCTTGTTTGATGTATCAAAAGTGAACGATTTTAGAACATCTTAGTATTTAGCTCAAATCAAATTCTTGAGTGATTTGCTGCTCTTGTTAAAAAAATCTATCTAGTCACTAGCCGGAATTCAGTTTTCTTTCTTGAGAACCAAGAAACTAACAAAAGGTACACAAGAATACAAAGCGATAGTAAGGCCATGAAAAAAGTTCTGATTAGCTTTAAAAAAATAAAATAAAAAGAGGAGCTTTGTAATAAGGACATGCAGATAAATATGGAGATACAAAATATCACATCCTAGTAAATAACACTCGATCTGAAGAAGAAAAAAATTCACATAATTCCTGTCAACAATATCATTATTTTTCACTGCAAGGTTTCTTTGCCGTATGGTGTACTTTTTGTGGGTTCATATTCATAGTTTAATACTTCAACCAACCCTCGTCTCGCTTCCCACTTCATAATGTTACTGGTAGTCTCATTGATGCCCAAGTCATTCAGTCCCTCTTCCTTTTTTGCGTTTGTTTTTTATTGAAATAGTACAGTTTACGCAGTGAGCCAAACTTGAAAAGTAGGCTGTTAATTGTGAACCTGATATGAATCGGGCTGTGATCTACTTTTTTGTGTGTGAAGTGGTGATCCATCACTCTCTATCTCTCTATCTCTCTATCTCTCTATCTCTTTATCTCTCTATCTCTCTATCTCTCACTCTATCTCTCTATCTCTCTATCTCTCTATCTCTCTATCTCTCTCTATCTCTTTATCTCTCTATCTCTCTATCTCTTTATCTCTCTATCTCTCTATCCCTCTATCTCTCTCTTTCTCTCTCTCTCTCTTTCTCTCTCTCTCTCTATCTCTATCTCTATCTCTCTATCTCTCTCTATCTCTCTATCTCTCTCTATCTCTTTATCTCTCTATCTCTCTATCTCTTTGTCTCTCTATCTCTCTATCTCTCTATCTCTCTATCCCTCTATCTCTATCTCTCTCTTTCTCTATCTCTCTCTATCTCTCTATCTCTCTATCTCTCTCTATCTCTTTATCTCTCTATCTCTCTATCTCTTTATCTCTCTATCTCTCTATCTATCTCTCTCTCTCTCTCTTTCTCTCTCTCTCTCTCTCTCTCTCTCTCTTTCTCTCTCTCTCTCTCTCTCTCTCTCTCTCTCTTTCTCTCTCTCTCTCTCTCTCTCTCTCTCTCTCCTGCTTTCCATGTTTGTCTACAGCACGATCATAACTAATTTTGAAAAATAAACCTAAGGCAATTTCAGTAGCCTTGTGCATCACCTAATGAAATGTACAATTAAGACATGGACATTCAAAGTATTGCGTAATCCGAACATGTTTCCTGTGGATATATACAGTGGGGTATTAAAGTTGCCCTTGAGTTGAATTCTTGGAAGTAGTTGCGATCGTGTTCTACCTGGGGGGTATTTCACAAAGATCCTAAGTTGAACTTATCTCTAAGTTGGACTTAAAATTTATGGGAAGCCATTAGCATCCTTGAAAACATTTTGTAATTTTTTTTGTAGAAGGCATAAAATGTTGATTCAAATCATTCATATTTTCTATTATCATGGGAGATTTCATGTTCTTGATGTGGAATTGATGAAAAGTCTAAAATACTTGAATTTCTGCTTTTGAATATATTTCATTTTAAGACTCCAATGGCTGTCCATAATTTTTAAGTCCAACTTAGAGTTAAGTTCTACTTAGGATCTTTGTGAAACACCTCCCGGGATAGTTTAATAATGCATGCTTGCAACTTTGCATGGGTTTGCCAGAGAAAGATTAACACGATTTCAAGGACTTAAAAAGAAATTGATTAATATGCAATTTCAAAACCCTATCAAATTGCCTTTTTCTTTTTGACATAAAAGGAGAGAAATATGAAAACTGAAGAAGTGATGTGTGAGCTATTGTGTATCGTACATTGAAACCTCTTTTTCAATGAACTTGTTAGCAGTGACATGATTTTCGTAAAAAAACATTAATGAAGATTTCTGTGATATCAGTTATTCATTTCATGATGCAAATTAACTTGTTTTGCTTTGCTTTTTCTTTTTGACATAAAAGGAGAGAAATATGAAGAATGAAGCCCTCAAAGTTTGGACTATTTTTTAAGTAGAAAAGTGTTGAAACTTTATTTTGTCAATGAACTTGTTAGTAGTGACCTCATTTTCTTAAAACAATACAGTGAAACTTAATTAAGTATTGAAACTTTATTTTGTTAATGAAGTTGTTAGAAGTGACCTCATTTTCAAAAAACGATGTCGTGAAAGTTAATAAAGTATTGAAACCTTATTTTGTTAATGAACTTGTTAGTAGTGACCTCATTTTCCGAGAAAAAAAAACAATGCAGTGAAACTTAGGTTTGTTTATGAACTTGTTAGAAGTGACCTCATTTTCGAAAAACAATACCGTGAAACTTGATAAAGTATTGAAACTTTATTTTGTTAATGAACTCGTTTTCGAAAAAAACAATGCGAAACTTTATATCCTTCACCTTGTTAAAAGAAGTAAACAGATATGAATAATCCACCTGGCGGTTAGTATCCTCAAGTTCTGTATCAGTAACCAGACTCCAGAAAGATACTGGTAGCAATAAATGGTTTACGTGCAAAGATGCGACAGAGCATGCATTAATGTTCAGAAAGTTGAAAAGTGCAATGGTTTTATATCTTCTTTGGATAAGGATTTGTTTTCATTTCATTGAATGTTGTAGTAGGGACTTATAAGAGGGTAAATCAAAATATGAAAAGTGCAAAGAATGCCTGGGTGTAAAATATAAGAAGTGAATATGATGACAAAACAAACAATTTATGGAGGTAAATATTTGTTATCTCTTTAATTTTTGTTTACACTCTTTCCCTTTCTTTCTTTCTCTATCTTTCTCTCTCCCTCTCTCTCTTGCTCTTTCTATCTGTTCTCTTTGTTCTATTTCTTCACAGGGGTGGAAGCAGAGGTCAGAGGGGTCAAGGGTCAAGGAATCAAAGGAGGTAGCAGCTTGCTTGACCAGTCAAAAGATTCTCTTTTATCTGACCATCAAGATCAACTACTGGACATCTAGTCTGGGGAACAGAGTGTAGCTGTTGTGCTCTACATGTAGCTTGTTCCCCCCCCCCCCAAAAAAAAATGCCTTTATAATTTTGAAGCATAGCTGGTTGAGAGGGGTAGTTGGGTCACTGGAAGTGGCTTCCGATTGGTCAGTCAGTTCATGGCACATCAAATACATGTACTTCCTCCCACAGAGAGAGATTGCATGTGGCAGGGAACTATTCGGAGCTTCATCAATTAGCCTATGACCACATACACCGCATCGTGTCACAACTGTCTCTCTCTCTCTCTCTCTCAATAAAATATGATCAGAATTTGTCCACTTCTGAAAAGGGGATCTACACCTGTACATGTAACTCTCTGTATGGTGATTTGTACAATTCAGTTTAATAGGTTCATACTATATCATGTAGAACTCACTGAAATGAATTGCCTACAAAAAAGAGAGGAGAGAAATGCCATCAAATACTTGATCATTCTTTGAGCTATGGGCAAAAAATGTGTGCCACCCTCTACATGTATGAAGATGACATCATGATAACAATTTGTACAGTATGCATTGAATTTACATTGCATCCCAGGCATTACCTGAGACAAACAGAACTTTGTTATTCCTGGCTCAGTCATTTTACCTGATTGAGGTGTCAGAAAAAGGCAGAAAATGAACTTTCTGGAAATGTGATTTGCTCTCTGAAATTCAGATACCGTTTGCCAAATTACTTTTTGGTACCCTTTCTTCCTATTGTTTTTAATCACTCATACATGGAATATGCATCATATGAGTTGCATCAAATGAAAGAGGAGGATCTAAGCTTTACAAATATGTGTCATTTATTAATTATAGTTGTGATTAAGTTATGATAAAACATTGATAATTCTCGGGTTTTTTTCTTCTTGGACGCACTGTATAGTTGTACCCCGCCAGGTCCAGCCCCTCTTCAGTTTGTTATCCATAACAGCTTTATAATAGCTGTTATTCATTTTTAAAGCATAGCATAGACATGTTTACACAACTTTACTAAGTTTAAAACCTATAGTCTTAATCAATCATGAAGTCAGAATACTTTTTTAACGTACATGTAGTTGGTTATTGTTTTTATCTTGAAATCAGTATGTGTGTTGAAAAAGTTGTTGCAGTTTATAACTTTTTTTCAATTCAATTCAATAATGGTTTTATTAAAAAACAATGCCTTGCAGCCAAAATGCTGAATTGTGCATGTTTACATATTTTATACATCAGCTCCGTTACATAAAATCATATTTCTTTTATTTTCATAATATATATTTTTCTGGTATATATTTCAAAACTTTACCCAGCCATATAAAAATGACTCTGCTTTTTTGTAACTTGTTAGAAAGACCTTTTGCTGAATCACAAATTTAACCATTGTTTTGAATCATGGTACCATTTCTTTTTCCTTTGGTAGCAACAACAGCAAACTTTTTACAATACAATGAACAAAAAATTCTTTAATTTAACGAGACAATCAATAATATTCTCGATAAGTTTTTTTCTCACCCAGCAGACAATGTTTTATCGAATGCTGAAGAAGAGGATATCTCCATTTTGGATTCTTTTAAGAATTTAAGATAGTGATCATATGTGCATCTCTCATTCTGCTCTCTTCATTATGTAGTTTTATATTTACCTTTTATTTTGTAACATATTTCCGTAATGAAAGTGATATACCTGTACATCATACAACGATGATAAAAGTTTTATCTTGTTTCATTTTCAGCCAAACGGATATTAGATGAGATAGTTTTTAATTTTAACACAAAGTACATGCACTTCTGTATTGTAGGTCATGAAAATCTGTACCCATATTTCTGGATAATGTAAATATTGTGTACAAAGTGCAAACATGGGGTTATGTTTTTTTCAGCTCAACATATGATAATGACAGTAGTATCTGCACTATACTGCACTTCCACAATAAAACATAACTGACATTTTAGTGTTTCTGAAACTTTCTGAGATAATAGTTTTTATCTTGTTTCATGTCAGCCAAACAAATATTAGATGAGATAGTTTTGAACACAAAGTACATACTACATGCACTTCTGTATTATATAGGTCATGGAAATCTTTACCCATATTTCTGGATAATGTAAATATTGCATACAAAGTGCAAAGATGGGGTCATGTTTTTCAGCTCAACATATGATTAAGACATGTAGTAACTGCACTATACTGTCCTTCCACAACAAAACATCATTACTGACATTTTAGTGTTTCTGAGATATACATGTAGGAAGAAACATGATTTTCAATTTGCTATTAAAAGTATTTTAATGTTTTTATTCAGTTTTTATTCAGTTTTTATTCAGTTTTTATCAAAAAAGGTAATTACAGTATATTTTAACTTTTAAATCCTGAATTTTAGTTTAACATGTGGGACTTGATGTTCTGAGTCCCCCACACTTAAAGGCCCACTGCACTACTTGTAGCTACTTGCGCCCTCTATATAACAAACAATGCCTAATCGGTGACCATTGGTCCCCCATGATCCTCTTTTTCTTATGTTAACTGAGAACTGAGTTGATGAGATAACCACCTGTCCAGTGACCATGCAGGGCAGTCTAATCCCTCCTGTAAACTACGGCAGATAAGCTTTAATAACTCAATTTTGCAAGAAATGTCAGTTATGCTGTTTTATCAGGGAAGGGCAGTATTCATGCATGTATGTGTATCATTCTAGTATATTATCTGCTTAGAGACAGAAAGGCTTTAACTCTGTCATCATGTATAGGAGTTGAAGCCTTTGGGGTTCAGGGGAGTGTTTCACAAAGACTAAGATCGACTTTAAGTTGGACTTAACTATGACAGGCCGTTCATGCCACTATTTGCTCTCGCCATTTACTGGCATCGGTCTCTCAAGGGACTTACAAATCATGGTCACAAATCTACAAAATGTTTTAATTCATTATTGAAGGAATAAAATATTATCTAAAGATCATAATGGTGAGAGGAAACAGTGGCATGAACGGCCTGCCATAGTTAAGTCCAACTTAAAGTCGATCTTAGTCTTTGTGAAACACTCCCCAGGCCTCATACAGAAGATACATCTTGTACAGTTACAGTCTGTGATTTTAGATTACTCGCATTTTTATTTGTTTTGATGATCCAAAGGTTGCTGTCATGTAAACATGTAGGTATACCATGTCTTCCCATAAAGTTCATGGATTATAAAGTGTAGTGTACAATGCTCATGACAATTATAACTTTCAGGAAACCTTAAAGACATGTTGTTTTATGCTTGCATAATTTTGTGTGATATATCTACTTACAGTATTTTTGAGAGAAAAGGGAAGATAGAGATATAGAGGGAGACGGTTAAATAGGGGAAGAGACACAGAAAGAGATTTTAAAAGGGAGAGAGAGAGAGAGAGAGAGCGAGAGAGAGACAAACAGAAATATAGAGGGACAGTGACAAAGAGTGATTTTTTTTTCTTTGTTTTTCTTAGATTTAGGGGCTTAAGGGGCAGTTGCCCCCCACAGTAAAATTAAAACCTAATTTATTTCTAATTCAATACTATAGTGATTTACAAATGTTGCTGAAATGACATTAAAGGGACTTGGTAACATTGTTCAGATGAGAGAAAATGGTGCTAAGGTAATTGACTTCAATGCTAGATGTACAATTAAAGATAGTCTGAAAGTTTGAGTGAAAACGGACCATTATTAACGATGAAAATTGGGAAAAACTGATCCAAACGATTCTTTAAGTCTCCCAACCATTTAATTACATTTTAGGTGAATTTAAATCGTCACAAAGCAATAAATTGGCTCTATATACCATCCCAGACATTTAAGTGTTGATTTATTTTTTATAGCCTGTTTTACAACTTATTTTCAAGGAAAAACAGTTGAGAAAATTCAAAAATGGTTGGGAGAATTTACTGTCAATAACTGTTAAAAGGTGTTGCACAGTGACACCTTCATAGAAAACCATAAATATATTTGTTTGAGGATTTAATAAATAACATTTCATACAAAAATTACACAATTTTGTCATCAACCTTCAACAATGTCACTTTAATTTCATTTTTTTTAATAATCTCACTTCTTTCTGCCCCCCCCCATAAGTTTTAGCTCATTACGCCACTGGGGGGGGGGGGGGTTTAAAAGAAAGACAAATAAGGAAAGAGAAAGAGGTTGTTAGACTGACGCAGAGACAAAATGAGGGGAAAAAAAGGGGAGAGAGAGAGAGGGGGAGGGGTGGAGAAGGGGGTGAGTGATCTTTCTTTGTTTCGTATTGTTAGATCTCCTTGGAGATCTGGAAAAATTGCTACAGCCGACGGTATTTCACGTCGTCAGAGCGGGGTATTGGGATAAGTTTTCAACTAGCAATAATCGCGCCTCGGATAAACCTCATTGGCTACGATACTGCCTCTGCGCAAAGATAACTTTTTCTAGCTTGGGCGAGGAATACTAAGGTTTACATTATACATTTTTTGTTATGGTGAGATTAATATTAAAAAATTGTCATTTATTTGCTATCATTGCACACAAAACAATACAAAAATACAATATTTCTAAATGAACCAAAATAAATCGTATCAAAGAAAATATACAAAGAGCAACGAGTGCTTCAAATACACCAAATGAATTTAAAATGCAACTTTTCAAAGAGAAAACGTCAGTTTTGTAAGCCTCCCTTGTTCAGTGAAGCACATCTCATCAACAATTAGTGAGTATGTGAATAAATTATAGCCTTATTTGAATGACAATTACGGACATCGTTCACAATCATCAGGATGCTTCGAATACCCTGTTGCAAAATGACAGTCCGTTATATCATATCTAGTTTTACATTTCAATATAACTCAACATTAATAAGGGAAGATAGAGATATATAGGGAGACAGTAAAATAGGGAAAGAATGAGATTTAAGAGAGAGAGAGAGAGAGAGAAAGGACAGGGACGGGAAAAGAGATAGAGGGAGAGAAAGAAAGATTGAAATAAAAGGCTTATGAAAATACACTTGTGTATCATTATTAGGAAGGAGAAAATAACCTAAGTTTACGCCAACGTTCAAGAGAGAGACCAATCTCAGTAAATCGGTG